ATACTGCCCCCCCCCAATTACTGTCGCACGTACCAAATATCCGCCTCCCCATTTTAATGCCCGTGTACCGAATGCTACCTCCCCATTTAATGTCCATTTGCTGCAATCTGCATCAAAACTTTAAGAATACAATTGCACAATGTTTCTTTAACATTCCAAATAGATTGTAGTAATATCAAAATGTCCACTTTGGTTAAATTTGTTATTGCAACCTATCGCAGATATCTGGGATAGGTTGCAATGACATATTTAACCTAAGTTACAAAAACCTTGCGCAATTTGTGTGCTATCAGGGAAATATCTTTCAAATATCTAACTCTTAGTTTCTGTTAACTGATTTTGTTCGTTGAAAAATAATTGCTGAATATAATTCATTATAATACATTTTTATTATTGCTAATATATATTATTTCTAAAAATATATACACACACATATATGTATATATATAATAAAGATATATAAATAATATATAATATATAATAAAGAAATATAATAAAGAAATATATAATATATAATAAATAAATAATATATAATAAAGATATATATAATAAAGATATATGAGAATAAAAAATATTAGTACAATAATTATAGAAAAAGATATTAGTAATTAATACAGTAATTAATCAGTATAAAGTACATTTATAACTTAATATTGACCGTAGTTTGTTTCTTTGGTTTCTGTTTACGTTTTGATTTCTCATTTTTCTCCGTCGCAATTTTTTCTATTTTAATTTTTTTTTAAATTCTTTCTCTTCTTCTTTCTTGCGTTTAATTTCTTTCGCAGCTGCAAGTCTTTCTAGTCCAATGTTTTTTCTTTGTTCTTGCGCTTCTTCTTTTTTCTTCTTGTTCTCTTCTGCTTCATATAAATATTGTAGTCCCTGTTCTGAAGTAAGAACGGATGGAATTTTTGATCGAGGTTTCCTTTTTTTATCCTTAGATAAGTCTAGTTTAGACCAAAAAACAGATTTTTTAAAAGCTGTTGGAACTTGCATTTCTAACGTTAAATCAAAATTCTCTTTTGTTTTATTTTGCACAATATTAGTAACATCTTCAAGATGTTTATTGTTTGTTTCGACTGTTTCTGTGACTTTCGATTGTTTGTTAATAATAAGTGGATCTTCATTTTCATTATCCTGTGTTATTAATGTTTCGTTAATCTGATTTTGAAGATAATTTTCATCTAGTATATTGCCATGTTCATCAATAATAATATTGACATCATCACAATCGAGAAGAGATTGTTCTGTATTAAGAAAATTATTTTCTATATTTATATTAGATGGAATCTGCAAAAATCAATTTTTTTTTTAATTAAGAATAAAAAATATACTTTTTCCATATTCTTTTTTTTATTAAAATATATTTTACAAAAAAATTAAAAAAATTATATTTGTAATAATCTAGTTAAATTAAATCTAGTAAACTAAATCTATTGAATTAAATCTAATAAATAAATCTAATAAATATTCTAATATTGATTTACATGAATAGGTATGTATATACAGGATGTTCTGAAATTCGAAGATAATAAGATTGCAGTATAAAAGTTATTGAAAAATTAAGTAATAAAAATGCTATTTTTCCATTAAGTAGTTTTCTTAAGTATAAAGGTTTAAAGTATAAACGTTTGGTTAAAAAATTTATCACATATATATGACAAAGTAGTAGTGTGCATAAAGTAATGTTTTGTTCAGTGACAATGACATCCGAATAGATGCACTTTTATTTAATTTTTTACGAACTTTTATACTGCAATCTTATTATTCTCGAATTTTGGGACACTTTGTATAATTCAATTAATACATTATTAAATATATATAAAATGCATTTATGTTATTATTATTTTAAAATTAAACCCTATTAAAATAAATTTAAATATAAACATTTTTGTAAAATATGCATAAATCTTGATTATTAATGTACTGTCTACTTATTCAAATGTATAAATATAAAATTATATATAAAAATTTAAGTTTCTTTTACTTCAATTGCATATTTAATGCTGCGAGCCTCAGTACCAACATTCTCGTTAAGATCAGCATCAACAAACGTCAGGTCATCTTGAGTAATATTTGAAATCTGAAATATTGATAACGTTTAATATAATGCCTTTGTTTGTTAAAACATATTTAAGTATTTGTATACTTTTTCTGATTGTTTTTTATTGAATACAGTACAATTTTCTTCGTCTTCAGAATGATTAGATGTAAAATGATTTGCTTTGTTTGGTATCTTAAAAACATTAAATTATTCTTTGAAATTGTAATAAAACAGTTTTTCTCTCACACACAAAAATTGTCTTTGTAACTTACAGTGTTGGAATTGGTGACACATAATTTTGATACTTTATTCCAAAAGTTAAATAAATTTCTGTTCTCTGGAAGACCTTTCCATTCATCATCTTTATTTTCCTTGAATGTCATTATTTCTGATCCCAACATGTTTTCCATATAAGCTAAAAATTTATTGTGATCCTCGTGATCGATTGCTGGTTTAGATAAAGTATTTTCTCTTTTAAAGAGTTTAGAAAAATCAATTGCATCTATATTAAAAGGATGTAAACCGCAAACTCGGAAACCATTTTTCAAAATCTTAGTAACACCTATTCCTTCTAATGTTTCCTTTAGTTCCGTTCCAAAATCTTGATATTGTATAGACAGCTGATTGAATTTAATTTGATAATTCGAGATTGTTTGTTTCCATGCAGTTTTTAAAGATTTAAACAGAGATACATCCATTGGTTGAATTATATGAGTTGAGTTTGGATGTAATGCCACCAACTCAATTCCAGATGTAGCGCAAAAAGCGCTTAGTGGTTGAGTTAAGTGCGAGGAGTGACCGTCTACAAATAATACAACTGGAAACTGTATTTCGTTTTTAATTAACCATGGATAAAACACGTTTGCTATATACTCAAAAAAATTTTCTCCTTTCATCCAACCATTATCAGATCGTCCATAACTATAGCCTGGTGGCATTTTAGTAATGATATAACCAGGAATTCTTTGATATCGAAACATTATTAAAGGTGGTGCTAATTGACCGGCTGCATTACCAGTAATCAGTGTTGTTAAAGACTTTTTCTCGTTGTTATTTACAATATTATATATGTTTTTGCAGCCTTTTTTAGTTAACACCGATCCACTCTGTGTATTCAAAAGTAATGCTGTCTCATCTGTATTAAATATTCGC